GTGCACAGATGTCCCAGGGAGAGAGCATGACATGATGTTAGTTAAAAACTAACTGCCCTCAAGTGGATCCCAAGTCAGAGCAGCCCTATAAAACTCCCTGTCACTGGTCAATTCTGAATCAGACGACCAGATAGGACAGAATAGAACCACCCCTGTGGGTTCCTGAGACTGGATCTCTTTACGGGAGTAGAGAGCCTCATCTTTCTCCTTCAGAGCCACAGACGGTTTCGAACTGCTGGCCTTGCGGATCACAGCCCACCATGTAACCACTTCACCAACCGGGCTCACAATTACCCTGCAGGATAGAAAATTGTCCCCATATTGTTCAGGAGAATAGAAATCTTTCTGAAAGCCGACTGCCTGCACCCCAACCCCACTGCCCCCTGACAGGTGGTCTCCAACAGATCTTTCCATTAGCAATGGAGTGCTTCATTCACTGCACCACCTTAATCAATAAAAGGCTCCCTAGTCCACAACTGTGATCATCTGGACAACACCTGGGGTGACGCCCCAGATGCAGTAGTTGTGAAGAAAGAGCCTGCCGTGGTGCAAAACAGGGTGCATGTGAATGTCCCAGACGCCACTCACTGGTCCCCCTGGGCAATGCTAGACTGCCGAGTACCAGGAGAGAGAGGTTCACCACGATACAAAGAGGGTTAGACAGAGGCAGGGAGACGGAGCACGGAGGACAATTCTCTACCCCTTTGACACATTATGCTCAACCGCTGGGCCCCGTAGTGCTCTATGAGTTGGACTGCGATCTGCATGGTCGGCAGTTCGAAGCCACCAGCAAGCTCCATAGGAGAAAGACCTTGTAGGCTTTCTGACCCGGGTAAATGGTTACAGTCTTGGAAACCCACAGTGGGGGGAGATGAGTCAGCGTCGACCCGATGGCAGTGAGCTTAGCGTGTTTTGTGTGTCCCTTAACCACCATTTAGTTGCTAGGGTCCCACACACGTCACTTGGGCGGGGAGAGAAAGGACACGCGGGAGCTGAAGTGGCCTTGACGGCAGCGGGTTTGTGGGGTGTGTGCCACGGGCTTTCTATGAGCCAACTGACTGTCTTGTCTTCATGACTCATCTGCACCACAATCTCGGATCAGAGAGGTGGCTTTATTTTCTCTGGGTGACACAGCCAGACTGGCGAGATTCGATCGGGACCGTCTCCCCAGGAGACCCGCCTTCTTCCTGTGGGTCACACCAGCTTCACAGGGAGTTGGGGTCAGCCTTGCCTGCCCCCCACCACCGAGGTAGGCTAAGCTGGGGAGAGCGGGAAGTGGGCAGGGAGGGGTGGTACCTGTCTGTTATGAAGCTGTCTGTCAACGTAGATCTGCCCCTCTGTGATGAAGCCTGTCAGGTCTGGGATGGGGTGGGTGATATCTACAGGCAAATGGGCTAGCCTCAGTGGGGAAAGCAGCAGGGGGCTTTGAAGGAAAGGGGCCGGTGGGGCAGCAGGCAGCTCACCATCGTTGGGCATGGTGAGAATGGGGATCTGGGTGATGGAGCCACCCCGGCCCTCCACGCGGCCCGCCCGCTCATAGATGGTGGCCAGGTCTGTGTACATGTAGCCGGGGAAGCCTCTTCTCCCGGGCACCTCCTCCCTGGCAGCAGAGACCTGCAGTATCGTGGGCATGGAAATCAGAAACGGGGAAAGAAGCTGATACACAAGGAAGGGGGTTGGGGGGGGGCGTGCAGCTCTATGAAAAATGAGCAGCGGGGAGGGGAGAACAAGAGAGGAGCCAGGTAGAAGCCTGCCCCCCTCCAAGCGGTGAATTTGAAGGGTGAGCCCAGTGGAAGCCAGGACAGGCTGGGCCCCTCACCTCCCGCAAGGCCTCTGCGTAGGAGCTCATGTCTGTCAGGATGACCAGCACGTGTTTCTCACACTGATAGGCCAGGAACTCGGCCGTGGTCAGTGCCAGGCGAGGGGTGATGATCCGCTCAATCCTGGGGGTGCGGCCAGGGGTGAGGGACCTGGGGCCCTAGAGCTCCAGTGAGTGCTTACTTAGCCCCAGTGCTGAATGGAAGGTGGGCTGGGGGGTGGGTGTTACTTTATCATGAGGTTGAGCCCCCCACCCCAGCCCTCAGGCCAGTCGGTGGATCCCAGGAGGGGGCACGCTTCAGCCGGATCTGACACCCCCTGGCCCCCGAGATTCACAGTTGGCAGGGGAACAGAGGCTGGGGCCTGAGAGTGGCTGGCCCTTGTCAGCCAGGGTTTGAAGAAGGGCTTGTTCCTCTGCTCCGGTACCCCCTTGCTCACCCCCCAGGGTGTCACACTTGAGTCCCCTCAGGGTGCTCAGGACCCCCTCTCGGTTTCTCTCTCTGCTTGCTCACTCACTCCAGGAGCCCCTGGCATGGGGTCCCTGGCTCATGGCGGTGGCTTTTCCCCAGATAGGGTCTCCGTGAGCTCACGGTGGGG